AAGAGAAAAGGTGGTCGCCATCATACTCACTCTTTTTCCAGAAGCTGTTTGACTGTGAGGTAGGCCCAAACCCTCTGAATGCGGTTGTCAGACACTGTTCCAGTGGACTCCACAGTGGCATTTGTCTCAGAAAACGTTAGCCTTCTCCTCCCCTGTCATAGGTCAAATTAATTTATATGTGCAGGGGCTTTCAAAAACCTTTCAGGAGATTATGTGCAGCGTGCAGCGATCTTTACCGAAATGGCCACAACTTGTGGAGTGAAGGTATCAACGTCGTTGTCAGTGATCTGACCGGCCACCACGATCTCAGAGCCGTTATAATACTGGCTGAAGTTAGTCTGGGTGAGATTAGTCCCACCTAAATAGATCATTGTCACATCTGTCAACAGGGGAGTGGCCACCTCTTCATAGAATCCCTGTTGACACACAGTATGGACACTGCATGAATGCTTAATCTCTCCACAGCCAACCATGATCTAAACAGCTCAAAAAATTAAGGAAACATGTAATCATCACAGTACAACACCAAGTCAGCTAAACTTCAGGGATGTCAATCTGTTCATTCAGGAAGCACAAGTGATTGTGAATCAGTTTCACCTGCTTTGGTGCAAATGAAAGTGACAACAGGTGCAATGGAGAGGCAAAAGCAAGACAACCCTCAAAAAGGGAATGGTGGCCACAGACTCTCCTGATCCTTCCTTCTCTAGTTTTGTGTTCTGCTAGTGTTCTTGTCACTACTGGTAGCATGAGGCGGTACCTGCAGCCCAATCAGATTGCACAGGTAGTCCAGCTCCTCCAGGATGGCACATCCATACATGTGGTTGCAAGACGGTTTTCAGTGTCTCCCAGCACAGTCCCAAGAGATACCTGGAGACTGGCTGTTATATGAGGAGAGCTGGAAAGGGCCGTAGAAGGGCATCAGCCCAGCAGCAGGACCGGTATCTGCTCCTTTGTGCTAGGAGGAACAGGAGGAGCACTGCCAGAGCTCTACAAAATGACCTCCAGCAGGCTACTGGTGTGAATGTTTCTGACTCTGACTATCAGAGCCAACAGTTCCTTGACCACTGTTAGGTACTGGGATGAAATAGTCAGAGCGATTGTTAGACCTTACGCTGGTGCAGTGGGACCTGGGTTCCTCCTGGTGCAGGATAATGCCTGGCCTCATGTGGCCAGTGTGTAGGCAATTCCTGGATGACGAAGGCATTGATGCCATTGACTGGCCCTCTCGTTCCCCTGACTTAATTCCAATTGAGCACCTATGGGACATTATGTATTGGTGCATCTGACACCGCAAAGTACCACCACAGACTGCCCAGGAGCTCACTGATGCCCTGATTCAGGTCTGGGAGGAGATCCCCCAGGACACCATCTGCCGACTCATCAGAAGCATGCCCAGATGTTGTCGGGAGTGCGTACAGGCACATGGGGGCCACACATACTACTGAGTCACATTATGAGTTGCTGTGATAAAATTCCTTTAAGTTTGATCAGCCTGTGATTTCAATTTTTACTCTGATTTTCAGTGTGATTTTGAACCCAGCCCTCACTGGGTTCATGATTTTGGTTTCCATTGACCGTTGTGATCTGATGCCTGATTTAAGTGTTCCCTTAATGTTTTTGAACATTGTTTTTTACCTGCTGAAATGTAGTGTATCACACGATAAACAGAGTAGTGAGCAAGAGATTTCAAATACCTTCAGCTGTAAATCAGCGTCTGAGTCTTCATAAATCCGTCGTGCCACACCATTGTTCTGCAGTGACATCTTCTCAAGGAACTCAAAATTGACATCAAAACCAAATCCAAGACAGTAGAGTGGGAATTTGTCTGCAATAGCTCCTCTGACATTTGACTGGATTATTTCAATATTTGTCACCCCTGCAAAGATACAAGACATGCAGCTTAAAAAGACAAATTCACATATACACATTTTATACACTTAAATTTTAGTGTATGGATTTAGGGGGATATATAGGCAGAAATGGAATCGAATATAATAAGTGTTTGAAGTGTATAAACACCTGAAAATAGCAAATGTTGTATTTTTGTTACCTTAGAATGAGCTGTTTGTATCTACATGGGAAGTGGGTCCTCGTCCACAGGGCCAGCCAAGTTGCACTGCCATGTTTCTACTTAAGTCCATAACGGACAAACCAAACACTGGCTCCAGATAGGGATATTTGCATTTTTGCATTTTCACGTCAGCCACTGTAGTTAGCAGCCCCTCCGCAACAAGAGTGGAAAAACTCTGATTTCTTAACGTGAAACTGCTTTATTCATTGTTTTTTTTTTATCAGTCTTTATCACTGGGTCTGTTTGTTTTTCAAGTGCTGGGCTAGCAGCTTGTCTGTGATGAGCTGAACAGTGTCAGAGAAACACTAATTTTTATGTGAAACAGCTTTATTCAATATTTTTTATGGGTTTTAATCAGTGGGTTCATTTGCCCTGGAGAGGGAGAGACCTTTGGCTCTTGATAAAAACCTGTCAAACAAGGCAGCAACAATGCCAGAAATTTAAACTGGAGAAGATTTAGCTGGTTGCAATCTGCAATCCTAACCACTAGATGCCACTAAATCCCCTGGATCTTACACACCATTCCTTTAGCTGGAAGTAATGGTGACATTATTTTCATTTAAATGTTCATAATTGTCATAGTTTCACAAGGATGGCTTATACTGTAGTTTGTTGACAGGAGATGGTATTGAGAAAAAGACTGCAGTCAGATCATTTAAAAATGATGGACTGTGTCATTAGGGTCCTTATAATCTTTTTTTTTAAGTATTTGTGCATGTGTTTGTGTGGATGTGGGTTTTATTGTAACCTGAGGTTGGGTCTCCATCAGTGAGAAGTATAAGGATAGACGCAGAACCTTCTCTTGGGTGTGCATTCAGCATACGTGCTCCTTCTAGCACTGCTTTGTTAATGTCTGTGCCTGAAATGAAAAGAAAAAGTTTCATTGCTGCCATTAGTGAAATGTTCTTATGGCTTCATAAAATATTTATTATAAAAGAGATAGTTATGGTCCTTGATTATGATTGGTTGAGTCGTGTTCAAAATAAATTACTCAATACGCGCACAGCTGTAACTGCATAACAACAGTATATTAACAATTAACTGTTTCAGAAAATTCAAGATTTTGTTGTAAATTTTGATTTACTGGGTAGGCTAAGCATGAATAAGTTTTTGAAAGAGACGGACTGGCTAGAGAGCTGGAAAAATCAAGAAGCAAATTAGGTGCCGTCACAGTTGTGTGTTTGCTGTTTGAGTAGGGAAAAAATGTTGCTGAGAAGGACACGACAAAACATCTCACCACCAAGTGCTAACGGAGGAGGATTTTCACAAAATCAAGCACTCTTAGGCATTGAATCCAAACACACCTGAGGGTCTTGTCAACACAATTGAGCATAGCGTTAGTTCAGACAGGACATGATGTCAAGCTCAGCTCACATCCCAGCTACATCAGCTTATCTCAAACAGCCCAATCGACTGATGGAGCAGCTGATTGATGGAAGGGAGTCAGCTGATAGATCACATGATTCCTGTCTGTGCAACCAATTGGCAAATCTCATTCAGGGCGCCCTATTTAATCTGCTCTGGCCTGCCTACTGTTGCTGCTCTCCGCATTTTGCTTTACAACCTGCCTCCACCCCAGCTCCTCCTTTTCATGTTGTGGCTGACTTATCAATGTCATTTCTGTATGTCATTGATGCTGCTCTGTTCTGTTCCCGGGGGGTCTTTGCTGCTGCTCTTTCTGCTTTAGGCTTTCCATGTAAGCAGATGGAAGGGCAGATAGGTGTGCTCTCTCTGTCTCAAGCTTTCCACGTAGGCGCATGGAAGGGCAGAGAGGTGTGCCCTCTCCGCGGCCCCAGAACGGAGCCATACCGTCAAATATAATACTGCAAATGTAAATAAAGTTTTCTTTGACTGAAGTTGTCCTTACTGAAATCTGTTTTGATGTGCAGCCTCTTGTAGGAGACAGAGCCAAGTGAAGCCTGAATCATTCATCATCCGCTAGTACTCAATGCTGTCGTTCAATGAAATCACAAAAAAACAAAACAAACAAACAAACAAACAAAAAATGTGAAGATGCTGGCAAAAGAAACAGAGAGCCTATAGGGACTTATGTTTGAGCAGCCAGGGTGGCCACTGTGTCCTGTCGCTGCGCTGAAGAAATGCCTGTCGGCACAATCCACCGCCCTTTTATCCCCGTCCAAAGTGGATAAACTACACCAACGATCCATTGTAGGTTAACAATGTAATTTTAAGCAGGTACACTATTTGTAAAACAGCCGTCGCTTTCTGTTGTGTCCCATTCTGCTGTATTGCTGGAGAACTACTTTGCTATTTTGGTGAAAGATTGATTTTTTTTTTTATCAATGAATTATTGCTTTTTTATTGCTGTTTATTTTATGAAACTTTGGCGTACGTAGTTACTGTTTTATGAAGGCAGTGCGCTGCTTGAGGCTGTGATTTACAGTGATTTGCGAACAGCTAAGGGCCGTTAATGCTGTGACGCAGAGTAGAGTGCCTTATGCCACTTTGCTGTTCTAAAAACACTTTGAACCACTGCCATTTTTGACTTATTGCTTAATGAACCTTACCTCCTCTGTCTCTAATATCCCGTGCAAAAGCCTTGGCACTGTCCAGGTTTTTCTTGTTGGCCCGAACAAGTTCTCGTTTCCAGTGAATAATCGAGTCATCAAAAGTAATTAGACCAAAGTGGTCCTCCTCTGCCAGGTCGTTCAAGATGTGGAGTAAGGCTATTCGGGTCTGGGCAAAAACATCATTCACACATATGAACTTTTATCCACAAAAAGTCACCATGAAATATTATCTGTTTGACATGTCCTCAAACTGTGTATGAAATAAAGTTTTCTGTGAAGTGAATCATAGACAGTTGAATGTCATAAACTAAAAAAGCTCCAGTTCTACAGCTGTAGTCTGTCACAAACACACACTCTTTAAATAACCTACCTGTTGTATTTTTCTGCCGTGCATTGAGCCACTACGATCAATAACGAAGACTACATTTTTCGGTATGCGGGTAAGACTAGATGGAGCAAAGTGATGAACAAAGTACCCATCTGAAGTCTTGGGGGAGAAAGAAGAAGTTCGATAGGTTAAAAAAGATTGTTGAAAAGACGGGAGAAGATAAAATTTCTGTTTCACTAAATACAATGTTTTTTAACAATGCTAATAAAGCACTCAGAGCCAACAGTCTTCCAGGAAATGGACTCTCACTGTACCTTGATGTCTCCCAGTGAGGTGTCCCTGTTGACATCATAAGTGATAACCAGATCTCCATTTATACCCTGCTCTCCACAGCTGTCACACGTTTTCTGTTGATCCTCTGTCGGGTAGAAATACACCCACGCCTGGAAACAGGACGAATCAGGTTACAGACTCTTAATAGGCACGAAAGTTGATGAGCAGGTTTTATTGGTCAAAAAGAAGATGCATCTGTCTTTTATTAAATTGATTAGTTTCAACTTTCTTGTCTCTGCACAGTGTTGGGCACTACTGGGACAATACAATGCAGTTTGACATCAAACTAGAAAGTGAAAACTGTTGTAAAAGAATGCCGTATGGCCAATGATTATTATGGCTCCAGTAGGCATAGGATAGTTGAACACTTGGGGCAGAATAAGAAGCAACAGAGTTAAATAGAGAATTTTAAATCACAGCATGCTGTACCTGTTTGTCTGTGTGTGTCTTGGTGATGGCATTAGCCAGAGATTTTGTGCTTAGTCCTCCTTTAACCTCGATGAAATTGATGCCGGCTTGCTCATTAATATGCACATCAACCTGCCAATGAGAATAAGTTAAATAAAAGAGAAGTTCTGACCATGAAGATGTTTTCACACTGGTACTGTTTTCCTGAATAGATATAGATAGGGAAAAACACACCTTGAAGTCTTTGACAGGCTGCATGGGTTGAGCGTGGATTTGCAGCTCGTACTTGCCGAGCCTGCGTTTCAGCAGTTCCTCATATGTGAGTTCAAAGGTGACCTTTTTGTGAGCAGCCACGTTCACGGAGGTCTTAAATTCCTCGAGGGTCCTCCCTACAGAACTGCAAGAGAGAGACGATAATCATTGCAGTAAAGCATTGGTTTGGTTTCCTTGTGATCCCTTAAAATGAAACAATACCTACTTATTGCGTATTCATGACCCCTAATTGCCAGAGGTTTGGAAGCAAACTTAAACATTTGAGAAAAGTTAGAAAAAAATTGTCATAATTTTGTTTTCTTTTCCCCTTTCCTTATCTCGAGGGACACAGACACACAGCTCTTCTACAAAATGTGACCAAAAAAACAACTTGTATAAGACCTGGCAGTAAAGTGATCCATTGATCCATGTACCTGACAATCCCAGCGCTTTGGCCTCGGGACACAGCCTCAGTGTACTGCTGCTGAGCTTTCTCTTTACCTTTCACAACACCATCGTACACTTGGCCATCTATAAACCTGAGGGAGATCAAGGAAGAGTCTTGGTTTATATGCATACGCCTAAGTGGCCAACGATTTATTTTCATGACTCTTAGATCTAAAATTCTTAATGTGCAAATACTGGTAAATATTCATCTTTGCTTCACACACATTCTGAATTTACTGATGAAGGCGTTCTTGGGAATCCGGACCTGGAATTCTATTTCCTTTGACTCGTCCATTCGATTGGCCACGCGGCTCGTGATAACAGTGGTTGCATAACGACTGCTCACTGTGGAGTTGATGTGAAAGCTGTAGATGTCCCAGTTGTCCTTGACAAATACAGGTAGAGGCACATTTCACAATAAAATAAATGGCTTGGTTGATCTTGTTGGCCGACGACCAGCTGACCAAAGATCAGATGATAGTGAAAAACAGCGTTGGTTGGTTAAATCTCATTGGTCTAACTGGAGAAACACCCTATTCTCTTTATTTTTTTTAAAACAACCGTGTAAATTACACATCTGTCATTACTCTCTAACCGTAAACAAGTTTCAACTCTAGAATTTAATGATTAACATCATAGGGACCAGCTTGAGTTAAGTCACCTCAGTGTGATTTTGCAACAGATTTCTGGCACAACAATATGAGTAATACACTAATACACACACACACACACACACACACATTTACTTGCATACATATGAACAATATGAAACAACACTAAAGGTGAGAGTTAGCAGGTCGTTCAACCTGACAGAGAAATGCAGTCATACAAAAAAAACAAAAACAAATCAAGCATAAGCATCACATATTGGTTCCCTAATGAGCAGTAAGATATTGGATAGTTTCAGTTTCCTTGCAGTGTGGTGGTTCTCCCTTTAGATCTTGTGAACTTACCTTGTTTGGCAGTGTGGTAACCAGAGCCAGCAGCAGCCCAAGGAGGGTGATTTGCACCACAGCTCTCGCCATCATAGCTCCCACCAGAGTGCAACTCAGGCAGCTGAAACTGTCTTTTAAACTCAAACAGACAAGGACAACATGAATGTGTACATAACGTTTTTTTAAAAGGGCAAACTCCTCTTTCTCTCGCTCTTGTTTCAGTAACTCACTTGTGCACCCACACAGAAAAACACGTTCCTGTTGTCGGTATAGTGCTGGCGGAGCGCACCAGATCGATGCTCTGCCACTTTTTTTTTCTCCAAGTGAGGAAACAGAATATTCACATTTTGCCAGTTGAATAATTTTTAAGCGTTTGAAGATCCAGTAATGACTAAAGCATATACCCAGCAAGAGGGCCAAAAAGAACTGTTCCATACCATCCCCATTTTTGGTCCCCCCTCTGTTGGGGTACCTAGCACACAGATCTGGTACTAAAAGGTGGAGCTGTGAACACTGCAGTCTGTTGATTGTCAATAGAGGACGGTCACTCTGCTCAGGGCTGAGTTGTGGCTGGTTTTGAGGCTCATGTAACCACTGTTCATACCATGGAGAGTTTTATTAGCAGACTGTAACTATAAAATGACATGAGGCTTGGCTTGGCAATGAGTAAGGAGTGGATCTTCAAGTGTTTATAGTAATTTAGACCGGTTTATGTGAACTGTATATAACCTAATCCTCAAAAAAAAAAAAAAAAAAAAGCGTCATGGAGCGTCCTTCCTGTTCCCGTGGGCTCCGGCAACACCAAACTTCTGAGTCTGTCTGAGAAGGACTAAATGCACAAACCCGCTCTCTTTACATATCCCATGGAGAGAGACTCTCACTGCAGCCTGTTTTATTTTCTTATGAAAATGTTGTTGTGCAGCCTTGTTCTGTTGATGATAGACGAGGTGCAGACTTCCATCTGTGTCACTAATGAGGAAATACAGTCCTGGACGGAGCAGTGAGTGACAACAACCCTGCCCACATTTCAGAGTACAGTTTGCAGTTGAAACGCTAGGGTCTAGGTACCATGTCTGAAGGGTTACTGTTGGTTCCAAAGGTACCATACCCGAAAGTGTTCGGAGGAAACAGAGCTTAACATGGCCAGTAGTTACTGGTGGGGGAGGGAGCTTGTCTTGTCAGTGGAGGAAAAGCACTTTAAGGGTGAAGGGTTCGGTCCAAGGACTCACCGGGTTTGATTCAATAGGGAAAGGTAAAAGCATTGGGAGCAAGTCTAGGTATGTGGAAGAGGTGTGGTGTGAGGTAGGCAAGACATCTGAGGACTGCAAAATAAACCTGCAGAAGAAACAGCTTAGCTCACTCTTCCTCTCCAGGCTACCCATGGGTTGTCTCTCACCTTGAACTTATTGATTTCCTCAGTTTGGCCTCCAGCTTCCTCCTGCAGGAGTCCTTGCACTTCCCCAGATTCCTCCCTAGGTTAACCTGTGTATTCCTTAGTTGTCTGTCCCCAGGCATTAAAGCTTTCTCCTTCTTATAATGAAGTACTTTCAGGTCACCCGTGACCAGGGGTCGCGTTAACCGGATATTCTCGACCGTCACTGACCGTTTTTTTTTACAACAATGACCGGAAAATCTGAAGGCCGTCGGTTATTTTGACCGGTTGCAATAACCACCCCACTTGGCGGCGGAGTGCACAGTCAGTGGTTTAAGTGGCTGCCGCTTTCACACTGCAGAGAAAAAGTCATTCATCTGCTTCATGTAGCGTTATTGACATAACGCCCTGGATACACCGGACGCGGAACCGAAGCGCAGCGCCCAGCAGCGGAGGCAGTTTTCCGTCAGCGCCCATGTTAACCTATCTGACTGTCCACACAGGCCGCTGAGCAGAGCGGAGCGCCCGCGAAGGCAGCGCTTCAGTTCGGCATCTGGTCAATTTTTCACGGGAGCCGCGAGCGCTTCTGTCAAGCTGGATCGAGCGGATCGTACCAAACAGGAAGTCGGAAACAGAAAAGACGAGAGAATCCGGCCAATTTTCAAAATAAAATAACAGCAGCACGCACTGAGGAAAGAGGAAATACCGTGTTTATAATTTAAAATAACACAGCAGTGCATAACCGAACACATTTTTCAATACCATAATCACTTCATTACAATTTTAATTTTGTGTCACCGAGCCTACAGACATAACTAGCCTACATAACGCCCTGGACACACCGGACGCGTTAGTAAGTGCCGTCCGGTGTGTCCAGAGCGAAGCCTAATGGCACGGGTGTGTGGATGTCTGTTCATCTTTTCGTTCATGTCCTTATTAATGCACACTTTATAACTTGCTTGTTGGATTTATTAAAAACGAACGAATGAAAACTAAATTAATATTTATTTGAATATCTTTATTAACATTTAAAAACGAAAATTAAAATGACCCGTAAAAATAGATTATGACCGGATTTTTATGACCCTGTCGGTCAAATGACCGGCGACGAAAAAGTCTGACGCAACCTCTGCCCGTGACACAGGGCTTATTATAAGGAAGGCAGTGTACAGTCCGAGCCAGACTCAGTTCCACCTGTACGTGGGAGGGCTGCTGCTGGCATCAGGTGAAATTGAAACTAAGAGGACACTCCTCAGTCTAACCTAAATGTCTGCTGAAAATCCAACTCAAAATTGATTTTTACCATGGAGCCGTGGCTGCGGCTGACTTGACTGCAGTGCTTTGGACTGGACAGGAGTTTGGAACAAGAGACTGGAGCATGTCCAATCGTGTCCACACCATCACAAAAAATGGGCTTTTTGCGGACGTACACATAGGGCTCCATGTTGATCTTTGTTGACATAGGTGGATGATGACTTCTACATCACACGGACCAAAACTATGAAGTGGCCCTTAGCTTCCTGAGTTCACCTCCTCACACTCCTTGTGGATATGGGCTGCTGTTGGACAAGCGAGACATACTTTGTTGTCAGCAGGACAAGGTTATGATCAGGTGTGCCATTGGGTGCACTGGTTATCACTGTCACCTCACAAAAAGAGGGTTGTGGGTTCCACTGGCCGGTTTGGGCCCTTCTGTGTGGAGTTTAAAAGTTCTCCCTGTGTCAGCCTGGGTTTCCTTTGGGACCTCCCACATCAGATACATGCAGGTTGTTGTAGTTGTCTGTCGCTTTGTATCGGCCCTTTGATTGCGTGGTGATTGGTGACTGACCCGCTGCAACTTTGTAAAGAATAAGTGGATGGATGTTTGTGGCTGGACAAGAGGAGCTTCAGTTTCAGAGAAAGCAGATCATTGGCTCCCTCTAGTGCCTGCACACATGCAGCATTTGGCTGTCAGCAAGTATCACACTTGTATGTATTTTATCATGCTCTATAGTTTCAATATTTGGTATTAGAAATTATTTGGTATTAAAAATGATTAGTAATAATTAACTTTATGTTTCAAACCTAAAACTCTAGGGGCAAGACTTTGGAATGATATACTAAAACAAAGCTGAAACTATAACAGAAAATAATATTAATGAAACAGCACTAATAGCATTTCATGTACATTTTTGGAATTGTTTTTAGTTTTACAAATATATTGCACAGTGGTATCAAACATAATTTTTTTCATTGTAAGAAAATATATATAATTATGTATAAGTATTTTATCACAAAAAATCTATATTGTCACCTGCAATCTTTTCAGTTGATTGGATAATAAAAACTTTAACATCATTTTAGTGTGCAAATTATTTTGATTATTGAGTTTGTGCTCTCTTTAGTTGCTCTCACAACAACCCAGCAATCTAGTACATACTACAAAAATTAGTTTAATATAGAATTTATAGTGAGGGAACACCTTGACCCTTCGGAAGCTTAAACAAACAAACAACAACAAAAAAAGAAACCAAACACTCACCATGTCCGGTATCCATACTACATACTAATCCCATACAGTATATACTACATACTAACTGTTGGTGTACTATTAGATGTCCATTAAACTGCATATCACAGCAAGTTCAACATCACAAACAAAACCTAAATGTCATTCTTAAGACGCAGTATATTGGTTTTGTTTTACTTGTTGTGCATTACCTTTCCAATGACAGGTAGTTGCTATTAATAGGAGATAATTGTCAGCAGACAACATTCAGTTTTTAACATCTTCAGAAAACAATCTCCAAAAAACCAACTGACCAACCAACTGACTTTATTATCTGAAGTAATAGTGAAATTGAAATTCCTTTTTGGTGCATTGTATGTCTGTGTCAGATAGATTATTCAATACAGAGAGGTAAGTACTGTAAATGAGGGAGAGAAGAAGATGTAACAAGTGTAACAAAAGTTCTTCAGCTGGACTTTAGGTGGCGGCATTATGGTTCATGGTCAGTAGCATGCTTGTAACAGCCACTACTGGTACAGCTGGATAGCAGTTCCCAAGAAAGTGAAGGCATGACCCGCCCTACTCTGCCTTACTCTGCCTCAGAGTGATTTACACTGACATTATTGCCCTTGCCCCAACCAATCCCACTCCTCTTGCCCAAACCTAACCTAGGGGTCAGCAACCTTCACTATCATAAGAGCCATTTTTGACCAAAAATAATAAAAGAAATCTGTGTGGAGCTGCAAAACATATTTGGGCCTTAAAGTTATGGTAATAGGGCCTATTACATTTAAATTAGCCTCTACTAATAGTCTAAATGAGCATTCAGTAATGTTTTACCACAAGGTGGTTCCTCTGCAGGGCACTATTTATGATTATTAGGTACTTTAACTTTGCAGAGCTGGCAGTGAAAGCAAACATCCATCCAAGCACTACTAAGTTCTCTATTTTATTCCAAGACACTTATTATTTTGGATTTGGCATCCATAGCTAATCAACTTAGAAGACTCAAGACTAGCCAGCAGTATTGAGGTTTGGCAAAATTATGAGGGAAAGGTGCCGGGCAATAAATGTTTTGTTACATCCAAGCTCCTCCAATGGAAAAAATAGGTTCTATTAACTTTTTGTATGTCTAGAAATCTATAGATAATGCTCCAGCAAGGGCATTTCAGATTTAGTAGAAGTTTTTCTGAGATCAGCTTACTGTCGGCCAAGCTAGCCACTATACTAATGTTAGCTGTCTGGAGCTAACATGCAGCTAATCAGACTGAGCTTTAGATTTAGATAGTAGGGATGCACAATATTGAATGTTTTTGCCAATATCCAATATGCTGATATGTAACAACTTATTTGGGCGATAACAGATATCGATATATCCACTTTTTTTTCCCACCTAATTTTACTGAACATTAAGTCTCGTCTTTAGTGGAATTAGTGGCATATTATAAATGCATACTCTTATTGTGATGACCCATCAGCAGATGGAGACATAAAATATTCATTCATCGTGCAAAATAAAAAAGCATGTTGGCTGATTCTAATAGTTCATTTTAAAGCCGATATTGGGCGATACCACTGACATGCTAAAATTATCCTGCATCCCTAATAGATAGATACATAGACAGATGTTCTTTATAGAACAAAATGATCTAACTACAGGCCTTTATTAGGCCAGTATTATGTCAACATCTCAGCTCCCCTTTACTTAAAAATACACAAACCATGTTGTTGAAATAATCCATTACGAGTAGAAGCTCTTCATTTAAAATCCTACTCAGGCAAACGCAAAGACGTATTACTTAAAGTATCAAAAGTAAAAGTACTCATTCCTGATAATCGTGATATATTTTTAGTTATCACATTATTAGATTGTTTATATGCATTTGTGCTGAAGTAGCATTTACTGTTGGATTGTGACTATTTTATCATCTTTTACTGATCAGTCCAGTGTCCAACCGAGGGCTCTGTTGATTCATGGAAAATGACTAAAGCAACAATAATACATTTTGATCTGATCCATCTGATCCAGCAACAAGAGGGGACAAATGTGTTGCATGTAAGTCTGTATCCCCAAGATAAAGAGAACCCCCCCAAGTGCTTATCTGTTTTATCTCAGAAAACAGACAAAACCCCACATTGACGTTGTGTATATGGGTTGTATGTATGTGATGTGTGCGTTGGGGGGGAGGGGCGGGGGGAGGGGCCGGGGGGGTTTGCCTTGCTCAGTTAGTTTCTATTGGTACTAAAGAAAAGACTGGTTATGTTGGTCTCACTGGCCACTCCTTACAGAAACCCATTTCACTCAACTTAATCTTGGAGAGGGACTGCTGTTTTCTTTGAGAAAACAACTGTCAAGAGGAGGAAGTGCTCAACTCCACATGGTAAAGTGTGCATCTTTCAGGTTTGACTTTGACTAATTTTATATTATATTTTGCTACAGTTTAGGCAATATTTTGCTTTTGTTTAAGGTGTTTATGGGAATCTCTGAATTGGTTATTTATGCAGTTGAATCTGTTTTACCTTTATTGCAACCAAGGCAACAAGTAAGCAGGGACATATTAAACCATAAATACTGGACATGTACCCCCCATGCATTGATTAGTTTTTTAAAGGAAATGTATTTGAACCTTAAAAAATGTATATAAAGCCTAAGCTGAATTCACCATAGGTTTATCTATCACAAATTCGTGCCCTTGTTTGGTGTTTCTGCATTTGTTGTATCACAGTTATTTGCATCTGGATTTAAAGTACCTTTATTTTATTTTATTTTATTTTATTTTATTTTATTTAACAGTTAGCTATTAGCTAATTTTCATCTACAGTCCCTGGGCAGGAAACAGAGAATAATTTTGCTGCTTTTTAGATACTTTTGATTAAAATGGAATATAATTAGACACCGTTACATTTATGCTAAAGATATCACAGTGAAACTTGCACCTGTGTGTTGGCATCTCTGACCAGGAGTCCTCAGGCCAACCGAGGCTAAGACCACCATACTGTAGTCAGAGTCCATGCTGTAGGTCCAGGTTCCATTTATGAATTAATCTTTGGATGCCCCATGGGGTGGTAATGTAACTGCAGTGAATGGGTCTATGATACAACAACTAAACAGGACAACACTGTAGATAAAAAAAGCCAAACTCATGTAAACAAAAAGATAAGCACCAGGTTGGGACAGAATCACTTGTCAGAAAATGTAGTCTTGACATCCTATTTTTTTATGTCATTAGCTATGCTAGTTGCTCCAGAATTGAAATATTTGCCAGACATCCATGGTTCCCGCAGATGAATCCTACTACCTTTGATGATTTTCTGACTCTTCCTTTGATGCCACCATATTTTACCCACATTTTGGATTATGACCAAATATCTGCAAAACTAATGTCCAGCTGTAGGCCTGCTTTGGTATTAATTAGCTAAAGTTAGCATGCTTAGATGTGTACATGGTAAACCTTGTAGCTGCTTAACATCCACTCATTATCATTGACATTGTGAATGTATTAGCATGCTGACGTTAACATGTAGCCCAACGTGCTGCTATGTGTAGGTACAGCTTCACAGAGCTTGACTTTAAGTATTTCATCATGATTTTTGAATGCGGTAAGGGGTGTGTGTGTAGCTTATCTTTGGCCCTGTTATGGTCTCGTATATAGTATGGTGTATGTGATATGCAATTCAGGCAATATATGTTGACTAAGACATGATAGTAGTGAGAAGAAACCTGAATGATTTAAACGTATTGATACTGTCTGAGAATACTGAATGAATTCCAACATGTATCCCTGTCTAGGTCTCTGTGCTTGATATGACCTAACAGCTTCATGTCATCTTTGACACACTGACATACTGTATGCTAATTCAATTCTTACTTCAGGTTAAAATGGACCAAAGACAAAACTCACAGGTGAAACTGAATCCGCTGAACCTTGGGACCAGACCAGGACATACTCAACCCAAACCTAAGGAGAGGGAGCAGTGGGGCAGTAAGATTGAGTTCATCTTGGCAGTGGCCGGGCATATTGTCGGTCTGGGAAATGTGTGGAGGTTTCCATATCTTTGCTACAAAAATGGAGGAGGTAAATCTTTGTTGTTGTTGTGGCCAGGTTTACGTCATGTAAAAACACTGTGTTGTAGCCTGCCTTGCCAGGGATTAAGATGGTGTTCAGTTAATAATTGGCATGTAGGACATTTTGTAAATGCTGCGGTGAAAGAATCCTTCCAACTCTGTCCTTAGCCTCTTGCTATAAAGTGATTAATTTCTTCATTGTTAAGATAATTACACCTTTTTCTTCTGCTGCATAATGCATTCATTTATTTTTTTACAAATTATTATGCAGTTTTGTCAGTATTTTAACAATTTATTTTATTTTTATTTTAAGGGGTTTTCTTCATACCTTATGTTTTGTTTTTGTTCACCTGTGGCATCCCACTCTTCTTCCTGGAGACATCTTTGGGCCAGTACACCAGTCAGGGTGGAATAACATGCTGGAGCAAAATTTGCCCTCTTTTTGAAGGTAAGTCTTCATGGTGTTTGTAACCAGTTTTTGTGGGCGACTGTGGCTCAGAAGGTAGAGCAGGTCATCCACTAGTCGGAAGATCAGCGGTTTGGCTCCTCCGGTACACATGTCAAAGTATCCTTGAGCAAGATATTGCTCCCAGTGGCTGTTCAAACGGTGTGTTAGTGTTAAAAAGTGAGCTACAGGTGGCACCTTGTACGTAGCCTTAGCCATCAGTGTATGAATGTGTGTGTGTGAATGGGTGAATGTGACTCGTAGTGTAAAAAGTGCTTTGAGTAGTCAGAAGTCCAGAAAGGTACTATTCAAGTGCAGGTCCATTGACCTCTTTTAAATCAGCTTCAAAATTAATAAAACAATTCTGTGTAACTGTTAATGAATATTATTACATATGACCACAATTTGTGTAGCATGGGACGTTGTAACTAGTCTTTAAGACTGGATAAAGTTCAATTTTAAGTATATTTTAGACCATATTGTTATTCTGCATACAGTGCTAGTAGTTTTTAATTTATCTCACTGTGTTAAGTATTTTATCTTCATATTTTTATATGTACAATGACTCAAATGACAATGTGTATGCATAGTATACATAGTCCAGTATTTCCTAAGTTAGGGGTCGGGCCTCTCCAAAGGACCTGCTACAATTTTTTTTTTTAAAATGTTGGATTCTTTCAGTTGTTTGGGTCTTGAACAATTATTTTAGTGAAACCATTGGGGCAGTTAAGCAGTAAAAGGCCTCTCTGGTGGAATTGCGAACAACTGATAGATGTCTCAAACGTGACAAGGGGCCCGAACTAGGTACTGATTTTTTTGTAAGAGGTCAACATTTAAAAAAAGGTTGGAAACCACAAGTTTAATCTGAAACAATGCACTGTTTTTAAGCAAGTAAAATCTTAATCTGAAAAGTATCTTGTTACCAAAATAAATGTAGTCAACTAAAAAGTTAAATATTTTAATAGGCAGTGGAGTAGAAGTAGAAAGTTAACTTAAATGGATATACCCATAGTACGATCACCTCAGAGCTGTACTTTAGCACAAACATTAATGGTGTTTCTTCATGGTGTCAAAATATCTCTGTCTCTCCACAGGCTTAGGTTATGGAAGCCAAATAGTTGTTTTGTACACTGGGGTGTATTACATCATCATACTGGCGTGGACATTTCTGTACCTGTTTTCATCCTTCAGCTCTGAGCTTCCATGGGCGAGCTGTCACAACAGCTGGAACACAGGTACCGAGAATATATTCTCCAGCTATGACACATAAAACTGTGGTTTGTGTTCAATTTGTTAAAAAGTTTTACTTTCTCATTCTTTCATGTAAGATGGCTGCTTCGAGCACGGTCACAATCAAACATCCTCTCTGTACCTGTATGGAAATAGCACATCTTCGGTTGTAGAATTTTGGGAGTAAGTAGCACAGATTAATGTATCGAATAAGGGCTGCTGTGTTTTTTGTGGTAAGTTCCTTAATAAACTTTGTTGCAGGAGGAGAATCTTGGGCCTGTCCAGTGGAATTGAGGAAATTGGCAATATTCGCTGGGACCTGGCACTTTGTCTACTACTTGCCTGGACGTTGTGTTACTTCTGTGTCTGGAATGGAGTGAAGACTACAGGGAAGGTACAGTATGATTTTAATGTTAATTTTAAATGTCCAATTTCATGCAAACCCTGCTCTTAAAAGTAACAGAAAAGCTGTTGGTTCTGTCTCAGGTGGTCTACTTCACTGCCACATTCCCATATGTAATGCTGGTGGTGCTGCTTGTTCGTGGTCTTACATTACCGGGGGCCAAAGAGGGAATCATGTTCTACCTCTACCCAAATCCATCCCGCCTCGCTGACCCAGAGGTACGACCTTGTTCTGACCTTAACCAAGTGCTTTGAGTGCCTGGATATAACCATAAAAATGAGTTTGCAGCAAGGCAAGCTGCTTTGTGCTTTGTGAGACTGTACTTAATCACAGTGGTGATTTCAGTTAGGCTAAATGCTAATGCTAATACTGTCAGTGATAACATGCTGATGTTAGCAAGCATTATGTTGACCATGTTCACCATTTAGCATGTTGACATGCAGCCAGGCATGAAGAGTCACAGGTGGGTGTAAAAAAATAAGGGGTTTATTTACCCAAAAATGAACAATACAGTTTGCAACATTTACATTTTCAACTAAATAGAAATTAAATCAGGTTATACTTACTCAAAGTGGAAACAGATGACTTTTCAGACTACTTTGTCCATGAACATTTTGATAAACTCAGTATGAACATTCTGCAACATAAGTATGCATCTTCACGAAACATAAACTCAACGTAAACTCCTCTAAATCCCTCAGGTATGGATGGATGCTGGCAGCCAAATTTTCTACTCCTATGGAGTTTGCACAGGTGTTCTGACATCTTTAGGAAGTTACAACAAGTACAGCAACAACTGCTACAGGTTGGCATTTCTTTCTTCTGCACTGACTGTACTCAATTCAACTTTTAATTCAGTTCTTACAAAAGTTTGGATTAGAGGTTTACTATTTTTTTTAATATATATTTCCCCTGCAGGGACTGTGTTTACCTGTGCCTGTTGAACAGTTTAACCAGCTTCATTGCTGGCTTCGCCATCTTCTCTGTGCTCGGTTTTATGGCAAAGGAGCAAGGTGTGGATATATCAATGGTGGCTGAATCAGGTATGGAGGGTTAATAATGCTCGACAAAATCACAGAGTGATAATATTTGAATTGATTTAAAAGAATGTGACTTTTTTTTATGTACCTTTGCAGGTCCAGGTTTGGCATTCATTGCTTATCCTCGTGCTGTGGCTCTAATGCCGCTCCCCCAGCTCTGGGCCATCTTCTTCTTCATCATGATCATCTTCTTAGGATTAGATAGTGAGGTAGGACTGCAAATCTGTTTGGAATGTCATTGCAAAATTCAGACAACAATAATATAAATTTGTGGTAATGCAAAATCATATCTTTGATTACCGTAGTTTGTATATCAAGAGGCACTGGTTACAACCATCTCGGACATGTATCCTGGCTTCTTTCAAAATGATTGTCGCCGTAAACTCCTCCTCCTCGCCATTTCTGTTGGAAGTTTCTTTGTCGGCCTTTTCATGGTCACGGAGGTGAGTGACAAAACACAAAACAACTTTTTTTTAAGGGTTACTTTTACATGAATGCTACATTTTTTAAAAATATATTGTCTGCTTTATATGGTAAATGCTTTTATAATAACATGTTGGACAAACACAGAGTGGACGATACAGTGACAGTCTTGTTTTGACTTTCCCTAAAGGATTCAGTGTTTCTCTAAAGAAATAAAGTTTTATATAATTGTATTTCTATGGTTCTCTCCTTTGCAGGGAGGCCTTTATCTCTTCCAGCTGTTTGACTACTACGCCTGCAGCGGGATGACACTCCTGCTGTTTGCTGTTCTTCAGTCTGTCTGTATCGGATGGGTCTATGGTAAGGAGAACTTTTAACCTGGTAAAATGTGCTGGAGCCACTGTTGGTTCCCTCATTATAAACTCAGTTTTTACACCAGTGGTTTCACACCTGAGGGATCATGAGACAGGACAGGAAAGAAAAAACATAATCACATAGAACAGGGAACATCACTGGTTTGGTTTACCTCTCATTTTAAAGGCTCATTTATACTCTCTTTATGTACAAAAACGGATACGCTCATTTCAAATGATGTAACTGTCACTGACCACATACCGCATCCTTTACTTTGGCATGGATTCATCCACTGTAAGGTAGCAATCTCACACGGACCTCCACTTTTCCTTTGCTTTACTGTCCAATTTACATTTAATTCCTGTCCCAGCTGTTCTGTAGTAACTGTCCCTGGGCCCGGGCAAAGTGACATCATATAGATGTTTAAAACTACTGATAAACTCACACAACCTCTCCTCAACAAGTAACACAGTTTTTAAAATGTCTTCACCATGCCTTTCGGTCATGTCTCGCTTAAATTGTTGACTATTGGCCCAGAATTCCTGGTGGTACTGCTCCATTCCTACATTATCTGTAAAGTCTAAGGAAATGTGCACAAAGACAGATGATATGAACGTAGAGTACAGACAGAAGGCCATGTCTCTGTCTGTGTCTTACGTGACGTGTAACAGTGTGTAACCAGCTGTGAGAGCTTTATGTGATGTCCACGTACATGACTAGATAAGATGGGCCAAACTGCTCTGTCACCCCCACTGATGACGCTAGTTAAAGATAGCGGGTAACTTCCATCCCCTCCCTGACCTCAGCAGTTATCAGTGAGAATAAGTATCTGACATCTTGTGTGTTCAGGACTCACTCTTTGCACTCAGCTCATTCTTGAGTTTGTTGTGAGTTCATCTGCTGATGCTGAATTAAACAAGTTTCTGACTTGATGTGTTTTGTCTAATAGAAATTGCCACCACACTGAAAAACTGTGTGGGGAAACAGTCCAGCACTTTAAAAACAACATTTCTCAGTGCACAATTGCAGGAAATTTAGGGATTTTACCACCTACAATCCATAATATCATCAAAAGATTCAGAGAATTCGGAGAAATCTCTGCATGTAAGGGGCAAGACTGAAAACCAACACTGAATGGCTGTGACCTTTGACCCCTCAGACAACACTGCATTAAAAACTGACATGATTATATAAGGGATATGACTACATGGGCTCAGGAACATTTTGGAAAACCACTGTCAGTAAATAAAGTTCATCGCTGCATCTACAAATGTCTGTTAAAACTCCACCATGTGAAGTGACAGTCATATATCAAAAACATCCAGAAACAAAAATGTGATGTGGTCTGACGAGTCCACATTTCAAATTGTTTTTGAAAATCAAGAAAAGGGGAAAAGGACCATCCAGATTGTTACCAGCACAAAATTCAAAGCCAGCAACTGTGATGGTTTTAGGGTGTGTGTTAGTGCTCATTTCATCATGGGTAACTCACATCTGTGAAGGCACCATGAACGCTGAAAGGTACGTAGAGGTTTTGGAGCAACACATGCTGCCATCTCGATGTCGTCTTATTCAAGGACGTCCCTGTTTATTCCAGCAAGACAGTGCCAGAACACATTCTGCATGTGTTACAACAGTGTTGCTTTATAGAAGATGAGTATGGGCACTAAACTGGAGACCCCATATTGTTGGGCAGTTGAAATCGTGTATGAAGCAAGAATGGGAAAAAATTTTACTTTCAAAACTTGAACAGTTATTGTTGTCAGTTCCCAAACACATAATAAGTGTTGCTAAAAGGAAAGGTGAGGTAACAGATTGGAGAGCGTGCCTCTGTCCCAACTTTTTTGAAACATCCAAATCAGAATGAGTGTATATTACAAAAACAATAAAAACAACCCAGTATAACAGTTTTAACACTGAATATCTCTGTACTGTGTTTAATTGAATGTACGTCAAAATATATTCACAAATCACTGTGAATCCATGTTTTTATTGACATTTTAAACAGCGTCCCAACTTTTTTGGAATCTGGGTTGTTGTATATAACATTGAGCATAAATGAGCCTTAAGGGTTCGCTAGCCCACAAGCTTTAGGGTTAGAACCCCTAGTTTAAACCCATATAACTATTGTTTTCAATGCAAGTTTGAGAACTGTGTAAGGCTGAATTGGAAGAGTTGTTTCTAAAATGATGCATATATACTGTAACGCTGATGTAACTAACACTACTTATTTCCTTCAGGTGCAGATCGTCACTATGATAATATAAAGGACATGATTGGATATCGACCATGGCCTTTTATGAAATATTGTTGGCAGTACTTCACACCAGCTATCTGTACTGTAAGTACCACCGGAGATGTAGGCATTCCTGCCTTGTTACTTTGTTTATGCTTTATACCAAGCGAGTGTCTTTGACAGCTGCCAAAGGCTTCTGTCCTAAAGGTAGTCCATGTCTAAACCAGATGGAGACCAGGACCATTGATGCTGTGCTGCAACTCAAGGATGTTTAGTGTCATTTTGAATGAAATGTTTAAGGATTTTTTTTTTATCACTAGCTTTTTAATATTAAAGAGAATTTTAATATGTGATCATATGGGCAAATAAATTGTAAAGGTGGAGTACGCCATTTTGACTCAAAACCCAAACAAGTACAACCCTCCCATCGGTGCTGGATCAGAAGCTAATACCTCTGATGTTATTTAAGTTTGTGTCATGGTGTGGCTCCGTTCCTCTTGGGCAAGGATGTGGAGAAGGGAGATAGGCTGGCATTGTGTTGTGTTGCTCGGTCCAAGACCCTTTGATGCTGTGTATGAACACCAGATTGTTTTCAGCACACTCCCATAGCACACATCTAGTGGACCAGGAGGAGATATTTGCTAAGCTTGACGAAAGGTTTATTGGATTAGAATCGCAGACTGCACCTTTATTCTATAGCTGCCACCATCTTTAAGAAAAATATGACACCAAGATTCTTAATTTTTTACAAGATTTACATTGACAAAAACTAAAATCAGTAGATAAGACATTCTCAGTCTTTTCAGGTCAGAAAAGTTGACCATTCTGTGTACTGAAAATGTTCTGAAATTGAAATATACTGTTAGATTTAGCTAGAAAACAGATTAATTATGTCATATAGAGCAGGAAAAATGATAATTTGGTGATTAATGGACCTGCAACAGTAAAACAGTTGGTATCACACATACTTTTCCATTGTATGTTTTCCTTAAACTACTTGAATAATAAAATAGTCAGGGGTGACTTTTCTTATTTGTGTGCGATAAAATGAATAATCATTTTGAGCCCTCTCTTCTTTCTGCCTATGTTTTTCTTTTAGTGCACATTCCTCTTCTCCTTGATCAAATACACCCCGCTCAAATTCAACAACACTTACGAATACCCCTGGTGGGGCTACACCATCGGAGGATTCTTCACTCTCTCTTCAACACTCATGGTTCCTCTGTGGATGCTGTATGCTGTGTGTGTCACTCCAGGAACACTGAGACAGGTACAGTCACATATTGTTACAGAAGTAGATCAGACAGTAGAGTTATTACAGAAACTAAAAACCATTAAGGTATGAATTACTCTCTGAATACCTCAATTTAGGATCTGTAACAGGGTAACTAAATGAATGTATGTAACCTGACATTGACAAAGAATCATTGTATGTTTGGGTCACGCGGCCAACACTTGATCTGCTTAAAGTCTCATTTTGTCTCACTGCATGGGAATAACTATATCAGAGTTGTATGGTAAGCTTCTCAAAAGACAACCTACAATTGTGGACTGTTAAGGGGTTTATCTGATAGTTTTCAGCTCAAATTCTACTAAACTTGTGGCTGCTAGTTGACGCCAATTCCCAGTTACGCAGATGTATCCAAGTAAAAAACGTGTGGTTGGAAGAAGTATGAAAACCTTCAAAAGTTTGTGGTGTTTGCTGCCATTTCTTTTTCCCGATTTGACTCATTTTATGCAGTAACGAGGCTTGCTGTGCTCTGCATTTATATGTAAAACAAAACTGTATTGTAGTTTTTCAATTTGAGCCTTGAAAACATGATTCTAGTTCAGCAGATTTGTTATTTCACCACATTTAACATACTGTTAGTCTCCTGTAGCCAGACCTGTCTCCACAGCACTGTGCTAGTCAGCGCTAAAGAAAGGTCTGGAAGCAGCTGTCATCATTTTGGATTGTTTGCATTTCTCTTAACAAATCTCAGTCGTCTTGGGCAGCACTAAACTCAGTTGCAAAACTGTAGCACGCAGGTAGTGGAAAGGGAGGAAATTGCCAGCTGATATATCCAGCCAATTGCAGACATTTGACATTAATGTCAATCTGTCCTTTCTTTCTCCACACAGAGACTGAAAGTTCTGTGCACTCCAGCCAAAGACTTACCCACTGCAACGTTAAGGACAACATCAAACAAAGAAGCATTTCAGACGTTCACAGGCTTGTACACACTGCGCTCGACACAAAGTCCTGATGACAGAACGCACAGAGCTCAGAGATTATCCACCATCTAAACTACGAGAGAAGAATTTTTTTAAATAGTGTTTATTAAATGACTATAGGATGTGTTATTATTGTTACTGGGGAATCAAACAAGAAGTCTGGGAAAATGGGTTTTATAAAATGGAAAGAAATGTTTCTCCTTTTATCACAAACTGTGTTGTATCGACCATTCTTGAGAACTGGGAGGGATCATGTCCTACAAAAAGAGCCATACAATTGTAATTAAACACACTAATTTCATTTCTGGGGTTTAACATAATTTTTTAAAGGATGTATATGTATGAAATGACTATGATTTATAAAATATATTTTTTTAACTTCTAATATTGACCTGTGCCAGAAAACACCCTCGTCCCAGACAAGAATTCACAACTTCAAACAATTAAATTATGTGTTAAAATCCTTAAAAAGATAACTAACAGTACAAACTGATGACATCAGTGTAAAAATGTACTGCTAAGATAATCTTTGTTTTAAACTATATTCTTTATGTTCCAGAATTTGTCAACTCCAGCAGATTTCTACAAAAACATCATTAAATCAGACATTAGATATATCATAAAGACTGGTAAGCTTATCAATTTTTTGATAAATATATTATATAATATGATTATTGGGTGAGTCTCAACCATAACCAACTTCGTAGCCCTTCTAAATCAAAACTAAATAAGAATTATAGTTTTAAGTATATATTGATTAGCATTAAGAAAACTCTAAAACTTAGAAAAATAAAATGGCTGCTCACTACCACTGCCGTGAAATAAATAAATATGTAACTTCTTGTCAACTCCGTAAGTCAAGCCGTTGATCTTTTAAAATATATTTTCCCGGTCTAATTGAAGAGTAAAAATCAAAGCCCCCCAAAAAGTAAGGTTTTGTCCCAATCCTCAAGAATGTGTGGTATATACAGTATCTACTGTGTATGTTGGTTGGCAATATGTAAAACATTGTTTTGTGTTATGTTTTATATTAATACTGATTTAGAAAATTCTATGTAATAGTTAGTGATTATGGTAATTTATTGGGTGACAAACGAGTTGTTTAAAAACATGGTTAATATAAACAATATTACCAAAAACAGAAGTATTCAAAATAAGTAAATAAATTTAAACCAACATATAGAGTGTTTAATACACCACTACAGGGTACATTACTATAAAAAGGCATCAGGTATAGAGAAAACAAGGTAGTTAGGTGAGTGCAGCACTGTACAGTGCACCAGTGTCAGACCACACCTGTGTGCCTTTCACACCTGAAACTGAGGGAAGCTTGGTATGCAGGCTGTAATTCAACACACTGCATGTTCTGAGCTTTTCTCATTTAAATTACAGAGTAATATAAAGCGTCAGTGTTCAGCTGTTTTACACTTTGATTGCAGTGTTCACATTGTGTGGGCTGAAACATGAAACTTGTGTTGAAACAATTGTGACGACAAAGTCAGTTACATACAGATAAAAAAACAGCACCAGGTGCTTAAGTAGTGATAAGAACATTGAAAGCAGTACTTTGTTTGAGGAACTGTTGTTCTGTGTGTTTTATTTTTACTATAAACCACACAGAGTTTACTGCTTAAATAATAACCAAAATAACAACAAATTTGGAGAACCTTGTTAGTCTAAAAATAATTTTCTGCCACTACTGGCTCCCATTTTCCAGAATGAATGAAATAAATAAACAATGAACAAATTTGGGAATTTGTTGAAATAATATGTGTGTTAAAAAAAGAAATAGGTAGGGACATATAAGTTTTACTTCTACCTACTCTTTTTCGGACACTGTTATCTTTACCTCCGCCAAGGAGGTTATGTTTTCGCCAGCGTTGGTCTGTTTGTCTGTCTGTTTGTTTGTCTGCAAAATAACTCAAAAAGTTGTGAACGGATTTTGATGAAGCTTTCAGGAAAGGTTGATAATGGGACAAGGAACAGATGATACAATTTTGGTGGTGATCGGTTGAAGCGAAGTGGATAAAATAATAAAATGGCAGGAAATCCGAGCTGCTTGGCGGAGGTCTGTGCTCTCTGAGTGCTTTTATTGTTGTTTGTTTTTTTTATTTTTGTTCGAAAAAGTCATTCATTCATTCATTCATTCATACATAAGAAAACAGAACAAATAACTCACATTACAGTGTTGTTAAACTGACAAACAGTGTGTGTTTTCTAACGTCACACGGACACCTAATTTCCTGTTCAGCTGTTCCTACCTGTAGGTCTACTTAACTAACTTATTTAGTTATTTTAAATATTTAAAAAATAATGATAATAAAATCAGCCATGAGTACACAGTCACAGTATGATCCCAGAACACATCTCTTCTCCCAGACTTCTTGTTCTACAGGCATTCCATATTTCAGTTTTTCTACAGTGTAATTTGCCTAAAACCAATTATTTTTCTTACCCAAATGTACCTGTGATTTTTATAAAGTATATTGTAATTTGTAATTAAATTATATCACAACTATTTTATGACTCAATCGGCATTTTTCATTATTTCTTGTCTGTTTACTCTGTAACATTATAACTGTACCTTGTAAGTAACACATGAAACAGTGTCTGTCCCCTATCATAGAGGTCATCACCTGTTCCAAGGTTTGGCCACTGGGGGGCGCTGCAGGTTTATGTTTTAAAAGTCCTGCTTCAAAAAACAACGTATTTCCTGCTGCAATATGGTCTCCAACCTCTGCTCTGTAGCTGCAGGAGTATTTAGTATACATTCACTTATGCATGTGTCACCTTAAAGTTTCCCTCCTGTCTGTAAATACTGAGAATGTTGTAGCCTAATATGATTTATTTGCGTAGTCTAACTGCAAAGTTATACAAAATACAACTTCCACCAGTCCCCCTTGTGTGGTCTTTAAAGTGCAGTGATGTGCTGTTAAATACTGTATGTTTGATTTACAATAAATATTGTTAGTGTACAGCCAGGTCTCAGATCAGGTGCTGCTGCTTTAGTCTTGTGGATGTTGACAGCAGGACATCTGCTGGCTGAACCCTCACATTACAACAGGAGGGAGCAGGAAGCTGCAGCTATGGTTTTTTTGATTCTTGAGTGTTGAAAGGTGACCACAAACACAAATGGTGTGTTGAAACATTAATAAAACACTGATTAAAAAGCAACTCTGTTTTGAAAAACCCTGCATACATGAAGCTGTAAATGAAGATTCATAACACCAGCAGAAACACCTGCTACACAATTTAATTTAATTCGTTTATTTATTTTTTTTTTATCAGGGACCATGCACAGAGAACATTGGACTCAACAGAGTAAAGATGCACTGCACCGGATTATAGCTTTTTAGCTAGTTTCCATCTGCAGTCCCTGGGGCAGGCAAAAGAAGAAATAACAAGAGAAAAATTAAAATATTACAAAGAGACATATAAAAAGACAGACTGAAACGGTACAAGAAAATAGAGTGCATTGAAATCCATGGGACAACGCACACACATCGTCCGAAGTGCGAGTGCTCACAGTTCCAGAAAACAGTCATATATGTCATAGATTATTTATTCAACCCCAGACTGGTTTTGGTCACGCAGACAACATAATACCACTACAATATAACATTCACAAACATTCTTTATTGCACAGCCAAACTTTAAACATTATGTGGAAAAACATTCAAATATCACAAACCTATGGAGCATCATTAACTTGTCCACAGGGTGGATTAAACTAAACTGCTTTCTCTAATGAATCAGGAGTAAACCAATAATAGAACAGCATGAATACATGTGTTTATGATTATTGGCAGTAATGCTGTTACCTGTGTCTCGGACATGTTGAGTTTTTAATGTTGTATGTATGGTATGGACTGGGTGAAGCTGTTACACCAACATTCAACTTGCAAATGTTGAAGCATGCTGAGTTGTATATGATGAACCACCAGAGGGCGCTTTAGCAGCAAATGCAGTCAGTTATGGTAAATGGTTGATTTCCAGCAGGGACCCACATCAGCATACACCTAATGTTTAACCACATTATCTTTTACAGTGCCAGTGTTACCTGTCATTGTCCTGCTGTTAAATACTGTTCTTCACACTTGTTTTCCTAATGTATAAACAAATAAAAGTAGTTCATGTGCTGTTTGAAATCCTCACTTATGACCTACTTCATGCTCAGATATTGCGGTGAATGTAAGATGAATGTGATGATGTGCTTTTGTAACTGCAGCTGCAATTTATCCTCACCTTTAGAGATCTGCTTGTCATCTGTGCCCTTTCTCCTTTTCCTCTTCTTCCCTGTCTTTCTCTGTATTATTATTCACTGTCTTGTTTTTGATTTGCACATTTTATTTTCTAGTGGAAAAGATTAAAATGTGACACATAACATTCAAATACGACCTGACTCCAAAACATAGCAATGAGTTATAACTGCAGGATCAAAACACATCACTGCAGGTGATTCTTCTTAAATTACAGCCATTATCATCTTTATGAATTGTTCTATAAATGTTGCAGGTATCTCCATAACACTGGCAGAACTTAAGGAGAGGGCAGCACTGTATATTTAATGTGCAATAAATATGCTACAGCACATGTGGATGCTCATGTGCTAAAGCTCATGTACCTCGCAGTGCTGCTTCCTCAGTCTGCTGAAAGGTGAGGAGGAGACAGCATTAGATGTTAATCTTTTGGTGCACACGAGTGTCTGAGCTACTCTGGAGAGCAGAGATTAGACAGAGCACTGATCTGGAGTCTGTGACAACAGGGCCTGAGAGAAAGTGTTCACTTAGCCTATTTTGTGTTTATCTCATTGCAACATAGTGACCTAGCAGAATGCTTTAACAGGAAGGTCATCCTGATTTTACTCAGGAATACTCAGACACAGTTTTCTTCAAGAACACTATAGTGCATCTTAATATTTTCAATAAAGACTCAGAAGGAAACAGCTTGTGATCTTTCAGCCTCTTATGTTAGGACACTTCTTACTGTTATGTGAAGGAGAAACAGCAACAGCCAACAAACCAAACAATCAATATTCTGCTTAAAAAATAATTAAAATAACTATCAAAGCAGTTGCGTATTATTCATAGATGGATTACTGAATGGGCCCACCAGTCACAGGCCCAGGGGCTCCCTGACCTACACTTGCAGAATGTCACTCAAATGAACACATATAAACCAGGAAGACACTTAAAATGACCACAAAGAGATGCAAAGGATCTGCAAAGAAACACAAAATGACCACAAACGAACCCAAAATTACTTCAAAGAGACCCAAACTTTGACAAAAACACACAAAATAACCACATGGAGACACAAAATGTGAATGTGAATTTAGGGCATTGCTGCAAAAGAGCTTAATTCTCAGTCTATTTCCCCTGAATAAACAGTGGTTGGTGATGATAGTGGTGACGAAAATGACACAAAGCCACAAAAAATGCATAACAACTACAAAAAGACAAAACACCCCAAAGTCTGTGTGTCTTGCTCCTATGTAGGAGAACAGATGGGTTCCTTTGCATATCTGTGCCCAGGGGCCCATAGTGTCGTAGTCTGCCCATGCTATTACTTTCCTCATTTCCAGCTCTTACTCCACTAAATGTTTCAGCTCTATTCGGGACAGA